GAACAGTACCTTGCTCATGGGTATAAATGCAACAGCCCACCTTAGATTTCAACCTACTGTAAAACTGCTCTGTCTGAGGTCCAGAGCCCTAACCCTTACTGCACTCCAAACTTAATGATTCTTCTGCTGGCTGTCTGGGAGTACAAAATAATAGCTAACTTATCATTTTGGAAACAGGATAAGGTATTGCTGTCATTTTCATAGTCAAGTTCTTTTTAGAAGAGACTTTGGGTATATAACATGTAGGAAAAAAAGGACTTTGGAACTTAAAATTGTCATATTATTTTTCTGCAAATGTTTTTATTATTGATCTCAGGCCCAGATTCCTTGGAAAGCTTACACCAGTAATCTTACACTTTGAAAATAAAATTGCTCTATCTAAAATAATGATGTCATTGAATAATTTGCAGAAGGAAAAGGAAGAAAATTCTTTTTGATGGCCATAAATGCAAGGCTTTTGCATTTTGAGCATGCAAGGTTTTGATATTGGTTTTGCAAACAATGTATTGTATTAACTAGAGTTTGCATTAGCTTTCCATAAATAAGTTATGGACTGCATGATAGCTGAAACTATGATCGCTGGTGGTATGTTACAAAACAACCAACTAGATAATGGAGGGATTACATCTCCTAAGGCTCCTAAAGTCAAAGCTATGATTGACATATTTCGGGAAGATAAAATAACATAGCCAATACAGCAATACTGGGTTTGCTCAGTTAAGCCACATCAGTGCCAATTTTCAGACTGTTTTCATGAAACCTGAACACGAGACCACTAGTAGTATTAAGTTGATAATCCAGTGTGTTGCTTCATATACACTGGTATATTTCCTTTAAACCATTCAGGGTTGAGAAGTGTTTTGAGAGTCGATGTTTAAATGTGAAATAACGATCTAAGCAAAAGTACAGAAAAAATAGACCCACAATATTTAAAGTATCTTAAGTGATTAGTAAAAAAATAAAGCAAATAAAGAATGATTCCATCCAGCATGGAGTAAAAAACATTTGCTTTTGACTGTTCCTGTAATGGTGTTTTTGGATGAGGCTCTTATCTTTTTGAAAGATGTGAGCAATTGTAAAAGATTTATGATTACATTTTAGTGTTATTAACTCAGCTTACACTACTTCATGGAGTTTTAGCCTAGAACACAGCTGGTTCATTATTATGGATGCTGGCAACAAACCCTCCCACTAATCTGAAGACTTTCCTTTATGCAACTCCCTCAACAATGGGAAAATGAATGAGTGTAAATACTGAATGTGACTGAAACATCAAAAAAGTGGAGGCTTTGCAATTTTAAAGCTGCAAAGTACAAATGTTAGGTAGAAAAGGACAATTTTAAATGAAGAGTTCCTAACATAAAAAAACAATTTTTGAGATCTGTCTTCATTGTTTTTTAAAAAAAACATACTGTTCAAATGGCACCACCTTGTGTTGAAAAATTAAATTGTACTGAACTAAGGTTAAGAATAACTGATTGTAAAAAAATAATTAAACCAGAAGAACATAAAAACGTTTCCAACTGAGTAGAGGCACTCAGCCCATCCAACTCATTTGCTTACTAGTCCACAAATCATAACTGATCTATCTGATATTTGAACACAGAGCAATCAGCAGTTCATTGGAGGAAATGTTTGGATTATATGCAAAATTCCAATCCAAAATGTATGCAAACAACATTGATTAGAATACAGACCATCATCTTGCAGCTGATGTCTTAATACACATTACAAAAAGAAAGAAATCAGGTACTGGTCTCTTTTCCACCAACACAACCTAAATAGCTTGCAGTAATTTACCTGGGTATTTGTTTTTACATTAAGGGTCATAGGAACAGTCCAGAAAAATACAAGCAAAACCCTTCATCCTGCACAAAAATAATAGTGTTTGTACTCTTATAATAAAAGCTTAAATACAACAATAAAATCACACAATGTACATTAGTAAAATACATAAAACATAAGTTTTAAAATGCAAGGACTGTGATTTCTACATTATTTTACCAACTGATATTGGATGGTAATTAATATTTTTTCTTGTTTTTTTTTTAGTGCCAAAAATGGGTCACAGAATAAAACATGATATAATATGAATGATAAAATGGTTTACTGTATATTTTGTGAGATTAAGGGTTTCTATATTAACAATTTAGTGTCTTTGCTGTTTTGGATATATTCATATCCATCCACTGTTGTAGGAAACGTCTGACTCAGACCAAGACTCACACATTTACCTGTAATGTGTGTAGGGAATGAAGGACACTTTGGTTTCATGCGAACTGTCAGTTTCCAGTCACCAAGGACTGCTTTATTTCTGTGAAGAGCGCAGATAAACTGTCCTGATCATTCCCTTTAAGGTGTAAACATTTTGAAAAAAGCTTTGTTTCCAAGAGTCATTACTTGAATAATATATTGTAGGTGGAAATGAATTTGGAAGAAGTTAAGAATTTCAAAAAGGGTTTACAAGAAGTAAGTATTACAATTTAGCTATAAGTTAAGGAGCACTTATCATAATTTAGTGTTCATTGCGCTGTAGTTACCTGAGGCTGTTTTTTATTGGAATTGTTTGCTTCTGTTTGTCAGACTGAGAAGATGAGCTTCTAATAGCATGCCTGAGGTACTGTGTCTGTGGTTCTGCAAAACTAGAGGAATTAATGTCCGTTGAGACTGTGCATTGCCATCATTAATTCTCTTCTTTTTTTGATCTTGCTCTGTAATCTAAAACAAAACAAACTCTATTATGCTTTTTTTTACTAGTGTGCATGTAAAACTGGGCACAAGAAAATCAAAATGAATTAGATTGAGGAAGACACGCATAGATCAGAAAACAATATTTTGATGCAGATTAAAGTTGACTTCAAATCAAATGGACATCTCACCACGTTCAGCAGCATGGGCAATATTAGTAGCTATATTCCATAGTATTCTATCCAGACTTTCTGTTAATTAAATCCTACACAAGGATGACTACAGTCAAAACATCACCAGGTCATCATTACTTAGTAATGGTGCAGTTATGTGGGTAGCCAGCATTTACTGTAGCTGTGTTTCTTTTAAAAAGTGAAGGGTTAGAAATGAGATAGATGACCAACTAAACTCTAAATCTACCAAACCGATAAGCAGGTACGTAGAGGACATGACGTGTGCACATTAATATTGCCATTAAAATAAGCAGTTATGTAAATAATAGCAGTTCGATAAATCTATACATTCCTTTGGATTTATTCTTGCATTTGCCAATGTTGAGAGTCAAACTTTCAGGAGAGTGCTCCTGGCAGTTTTCATGTCTGTAGTCTACCTCTGTCTTCAGCACTGCTGGCTCCAGAAGCCAAATTCCAGGAAAAATATTAACTTGTGCTGACTTGCAAAGCTCAAACTAATACAGGAGTTTCTTCCAACTGCATAAATAACTCAAAACAACACCTTTTTTTAGGCTTGAATCAAACATGTCTAAAATATATTTCTTTCTGTTTGCAAATGACTAAGTAGAAGGCTGGCCAGCTATAATCCAGTCTTATTCACCAGTTAGATTAATAGAATGTTACATCTAAGGCCAGTCAAAGGAAAAATACAAATGACGTTAACATTAAGCTATCTTCACAAAACATAGTTTTTTTTCTATTAATCCTGTTGATATAGGTTACAAGGGAGTGATACTACAGTAGAAAGTACAAGTTAAAGTGCGCACAGGAATCCTTGTTCTCTGTCATGTACCAAAAGAAATTATGAAAAAAGACATCTGTGGTGCACAATTTACGGTGCACAAAAATATGACAAAAAAAGTTTGACCTGGACATGTTACAGTATATCAGTTATGGTTTGTTTGCAAAGTTTGTTGCTCAGCTGTTAATATGCAAACTTCATACACACCTGTAGTCTCACACCAGCTTTCTACCCTTTGTCATTTTCTCAGAATTAGTCAAAGAATAAATCTTTGTAATCTAATCTTTGTAATCTTTGTAATAAATCTTTGCCATCTTTATAATCTAAAATATAAAGCTAATTAGGTGTTAATGTTTAGATAAATTAAGTGTATGATAATGTTTATAGCAATATCAGATATATCTCAGTTTCTGCAATCTTCTCCATTAACAAGAAACATTTTAGGTGTTCAAGAGAAAGATCCACTTCTGTTTGTGCTTATGTTCAGTGTCTTAATTCAGGAACAATTTTTTATTCTGTAGTTTGCAATTTAATTCTGCCTTGCAATTCAAATGCAGAAAAAAAGCTTTCTCAAGAAAGACATTTTTAAAGTACAATGGTTTGTCTATTTGAAATAATTTTCCCTTTCTTTTTTTGACACTTGAATTGTAGAACACCCCCTCAAAATGACCTTAGATTTGGTGATTTTTTGAATGGTGAGACAAAGCAATATGGTATTAATGCATTAATATGTGCACACTGCTGTGATACTTCCAATCTATTTTAAACATGTAATACTTTTACCCAAGACAGATGTATCCGTGTTGATAGCGTAACCAATGCAATGAAAGCTTCTAAATGGCATGTTCAAATCTAAGTTGTTATTTTTTCTTCATGTATTTTTTCAGAAAAGTAATTTTCAGAACTGTCACAAATTAAGATGGTAGTTGTGATTTGTGCTTGTCACTGTTGATGTTGTTCACTTAGACAAATAACATCTTACTGAAGAAGGCTGGGCACTGGGAGTCTTCCATGTCATGGTTATGGTATTCTATATTCAGGATAAAATGGCCTTTTTAATTCAAATTGTCAAACACTTTTTGACTCTACTGAAGGTTGCAACATTGGAGAAAACTGGACAGGTACAGTAGGTATCAGAATGTTTCCAAATGGATTAAAGTTGCAGGATGGAGTGCTTTGAGTTTTGTTTTGTGTTGTTGTTAAAAGAAGTGCATTGCATGTACCCCAAACCTGTTTGCCACTGATAACTACAATATACTGTAGAATACATCTTTTGAGTTTTACAAATTATTTAACATACCACCGTATTCAATCTTTTTTTTACAAAACAATATGATTTTACTTAAAAAATGTACACATACAGTCAAAAAACAGTCTGTAATTCATGGTTTATACAGTTTTCGTATTCAAAGTGCTTTAAAAATGTGGGCACATTAGTCACATTATTACTAGATGGAGTATTATTGAGAATTACTTATAAATAAAACAGTACAAAACTGGAAACAGAGCGACCTTAGCTGATTGCCTCAAATCACTAAATATAAGATGTGCTTTCTCTCCAGAGTATCAAATTTTTGTTTATGAAATACTGATGTTCACTTCTTTATCCTTAAAGCTTCTAACCTTATTGTCCTTCGAACACTCACAAAAGTACATGTTTATGTCCTTAGAAATATAATTCTGACAATGCATACTAAACATCTTTTTCTGCCTGTAAGCAGTGGGGGGGAGGTGTTTATTTGTGGTTTACACAAGGCCGGAGGAGATGTTTAAAGTACCAGTTGAGTCTCCAGTAGGGAATGTTAATGTACCGTTCCATGCGGTGCCATCGTTTTAGAAACACAGGCTGAGCTCTTTCCTTACAGAGCACTTTTTGCACTGCACAACGCAGCACCAGTGAAACCTGCACAGGCAGTTTTCCTCAAAGACCACAGTCTCATCTCTGTATCCCCGCTCACAGCAGAGCAAGTCACATCCACTGACGTCCATTGCTGTGCTGTTACACATCCGGCCTCTGGTGCCCAGCGAACCAGTCTTTCTGTTAGGCAAACAAAAGTCAGGAGATTCTGCTGAGTAGATGAGATCCTGTTTGTCTGGCGGTTTGATGTTTTGCCCCACGGGGATGAGGGTTTTGCCATCATTGCCTCCCATCACCTTGAAAGCTCCATTAAATCTTTCCAGGAGGCGATCACCCACCTCGCGAAAATGAGGCATCTTTTTCCAGCAGGTTCTGAGTGTGCAAGAGCCAGACAGCCCATGACATTTACATTCAGTTCTCATATAATTCTTCACAGCCTGTAGTTAGACACAGAGATAGATGGGTAAGATAAAAGCAGACGCTACTCTGAAAGAATTTACCCCTTCTTGCCTCCAAGCCATCTGAGAGCTTACAATGCTTGATGGCAGGAATCACTTAGATATACACTTTTGATAACTGGGCTGTGATAAATGCAATACCCTTATCTCTAGCCTTGCCTTTTAATTAAAATACTTTATGATAGGGCACACGAAAGGATTATTTGATTTGTTTTATTATTTAAAAGGACGGTGTGTGCATAGGTTCAGTGGAAAATATTACAAATCCATCTAAATCTTCCTTCCTCTCCACCACACCCCACACCTGCCGATTTACCTGTATTTACCTGTACCTGACCCCTCACCAAGCATGACTTAAGCTGTGTGACGGCATTTCAAACAGTGATAAAGTGATACTGACAAAAGGTGAGCAAAGGTGAATACTGGGCAATTTATTACCATTAGGTATAATTAAGAACTGCAGTCAAGCATGCAGCAAAGAGTCAGCCCCAACTGTCTGCAGCCAACTAACAGGGTGAACTCCTAGCCTGAGAGCAAACTAGAGACCAAGGACCTTATCTCGAACTTTGTTTAAAGAGGGAATCCTTTCAATTTGTGTTATATCCAAATGTTAAAATGTTTATTTCTTTGTTCAAAGATTAATAAACAAGTAAAATAATCTAGCATGTTATTATAGGGAAAGAATGCACTCCTTGTGTTTCTTGTAGTATTATAAAATCCATCCAACTGAGGACATTTAGAAAATAAAAAAAAAACATTACATTATGTTCAAATAAATTTGTTGAAAATGTATTTCAAATATCTGTCCAAACAGGGAACCAGACCCAAGTCGATCTACGAAACAGTTACACCTTTTATATTGTCGTTCCTTTCTCTTAGGTTTTGCATGAAGGACGAAAAAAATGGATAGAGTTTCACTATACCAGCCGTCCAGCTTCGTTGTTGTGAAGGTCAATCAAGGTCCGGATGTCGCTCTTGCCCTTCTTCCGCTTGGCATCCATGAACTGCTTGGATTTCTCGTACCCAAACTCCACGTCGTCCCCACAGCCGCCCCATTCCCACTTCACGCCTTCCATCCCGACCCCGGCTGCAGGGAGAGGAGGGGCTCGACTCCTGGTGGCCTCGCAGCCACACTGCAGAAGGTCCCCCATGCTGCAGGCCTGCGTCACTGTGTGCGTCACCCCGGCGGCTGTGATGGCATAAACAAATGCCGTCTCCCGGATGTCTGCAAGATACAGCAGGAGTCAAGACGTCAGAAGCGACTCCCCAGCTTTGCCTGTCTGCGGTTGCCTTCGACACCAATTCACCTCATGTCGTTTGCGGTGACATGGAATGAATGTCGGCGGCAGCATGGCAAGAGCACCTCTTGAATGCCCGCACGCTCCACACATAATCATTATCCGTGTGATTCACCTCCATGCCATTTCCGTTTCACAAGCAGTCACAAAATGGCACAACATCATTCATCTCTTCATCGGTATATCCAGGACAGACGAACCGGGGGGAAAAACTGCCTAGTTTGGCATTACTAGTCCAAGTCTTACTTTCATTTTGGAAAATATTTCTGACAACCCCTTATCACCTGGTGAGATAAATGGAATTCTTTAAGTATATATTAAAGAGTCTTTGCCATGTCATTAACTAGCACACGCATTATCGTCACTTGCATACCTACATACCCTGGACCTTTATCAAGTCTGCATTGTCCTTCATTTACTGGTCAAAGTGCCTCTTGTTAATTTACCTGTACATTCGCCTGGGCTTTGTAGCTTGTTGTAGGTATTTTCACCCAAGTGAGATCTGGAAACCTAAATGTTCAAGTTTGCCAAATTTTTTATATGTTTTATTTTTGAGTGTTCTTACTGTGCTAACATTATTTTCTTTGCAATTTACTGGAGGGATGCATTTCCCAAGATCCATGACTGCTTATTGTCAAGCTGCACTAGGCTGTGAATTTTCTTGTGGAAGACAAGATTCTTGTAATGCGCTGCACTGTTGCATTAGGGAGGAAATCTGTTTCACGTTTGTAACTGGGTTGCTCTGGATGTATCAACTGAAGTCATTTATTTGGTGTCTGATTTGTCCAGAAAAAATACTTGAATCTGATGAAGAGGCACCAGGACTGTAAAAATACTGAAAGTAGAAACAGAATTAATAAAAAGCCAAGAGGGTTTGACAAGGCTGTTGTGCTTCTTTTAAAGTACCACAAAAACAGAAGTAGCCTCAATCAATTCTTAGAAATACCACAAAATAACAAGCAATAGCGTCCTGCACTTTTGAGTGAGTGTGGCTCTTGAACATTTTGTTAATACAAAATAAATATTGAATACATTTCAGAACAAGCTACAGGAATGGGTTAAAATAATATTTATTTAATACTTAGCTAACGCTTTCTGTGCCAGTTTTTAACGTGACAGCCTCCTTGAGGAATATTTGTGCTCTTTTTTCCAAATGACTGAAGGTGGTTATGAAACAGCAGCATTAAATTCTCTCTTGATTTCAACTCCCTTTTTATTTTCCTTCGGGACACAAATTCCAAACAAATTTTACCAGCAGCCTCTGTCCAGGCCTGCCAGACTAAGTAACTGATGCCAGAAAGGGCTTCTACAAGAAATAACAAATAATTTTTCAATACACAATCTTTAAGTTAATGATGCATATAGCAGTTTAAAAAATGTTTTCTTAAATTCAAGCTTCCTCCCTCTACTAAACATTAAACATGATTTGACAGGTGTGAATAATTCTGATTGATTTATTTTGCCTCTATGTGATATTCTCTAAAGGAATCAGCATGTTTCTTTTATTGCAGATATCTTATTGCATACCTGAAATCTAATTTAATAACTTGAGATGGCACGCATTGTAAGTAATCCTAAACTATGCATCATGAGTTCATTTTATTCTGGAAATACAAACATTCCATTATATATATATGAGAGTTTGGTTTTAGATTATCTCTGCTATAGAGTTTATCTTAATAATATCATGAAATACTAATAAAATAAATAAGTCCAAAGATCTGTGACTGCAATGTTTGAGCATTTAAGCAAATCATATTGCTTTAATTATTACAGAGCAATACAGTGTGCTTCATTTTTGCTGACAATGATCCCTTCATGCTCAATTTTTTAGTCAATACTTATAATATTGAATGTATTTTATCATGTCAATTTTGAAGTAATAAATTAAAATGATACATTAGAAAGATAAAAAGGTACTGCTGACTTTCAAAAAATACAATATATCAATATATTCAGTTGATAATAGTAACAAATTATTGTTTCTTTATTATTTAAAAGAAACTGCTGGAGTTCTCAAAGTTCATTTCTTTCTACAATGGTTTGCCTCAGGGGAACATCTAACTGTTTCTACTATCTCTGTGTTACCTGATATAACATCACCATTTTGCCAGTTCTACTCACTTAGTGCTTACAGAGTGAAACGTGAATGTGCTTCAGTATTTTTTCATGATCTGTTACATTTTTACCATTTCTGTAATTATCTTTAATTTTTTATGTTAATTATAATCTAATAGTTTAGTTATTTAAAAAATACTAAATTTAATTTACAAAGAGCTAATAATGTGAGGATCTGAAACATGTTGCTCCTTATTTGCACCTTATTTATGAAAAACAAAATAATTGCGTTTACACTTATTTTACAAAATGATTTAAGTTGTGTTTGAACAAAGATGTGTTTGAACAAAGTAGTGTTTGAACAGACTAAGCACAAAATTCCTGATTGTTGTTAGGAATTGATGAAAGTATGGTTTTACAGGTGTACAGCTTCTAAGACTCTCGTGTTCGTACACAGATAGCGTGACATGGGTCTGAACAAAAACCTTGCGTGCAAATCACTTCCTATAAAGATACTGCAGATCAGAGCCAAACTAATTTTCCTAGGCAAATGTGGTTCAGATCTGTGGTGTGTATCACATGAAGGGAAAATCTTAAATGAACTTAGCTGTTTAACCTTTCCTTCCATAGGCTCCAACCACAGATCCCCAACCAGAAACATGAGATTCTCCCATAGATTAGACAGATATCTACTGTAAGAGTGTTGTTCTGCATCTTGATTACTTTTAAATGGAGTCACCTTCTGACAATTTTAATGTCTGATCAGTCTCCAGCTGTGAGGTTCATTTGAAGGTGAGGCAATCTTCTGAAAAGAAAGGAATGGAACTCTTCCTCACTCCAATTGTGTGATTCAAGGACATTGTTTATGCTAACACATAAGCATTGGTGCCACGTGATTAGAAAATATATTGCGTTCTAATTGAGCAAATGTAATAAATGTTGGTTGTTAAACTGTACTTACTTTTCTTTGAAATCGATTGAAATTGAAATCGGTTCCCCGGGGATCCCTGATGAAACAGCTGAATGAGATAATTGTGTCTTTCAGCTACCAGTTCCCAAACAAGCAAAATGATTGGAATGGTCCCCTTTCAAAAAGCTCTAACTCATGTATGTTGAACATCCATTCTACTACTGTGTGTGATAATTAGGATATTCTAAGGGATTAGCTAATTTAAGATACAATGCTCCAAAAACTACAGTTCTACAGACAGCTCTTGAGGGACAAGTAACAGAACAGTCTAGCAAAGCTCAGTAATGAACAAAAATGCAGTGTAGATAGTGCAATGACCATGGGTTTGAATATTTCTGTTTCAAAATAATAACTTTTAAATGTAAACAATTTGTTCTGTTCTCCTAGCTGTTATATCATATAACTTGCTTTGTGTTTTGAGCCAGAACAGAAACATTGCCACTTTATGACTCTTCTTTTGTTCAACAGTGTTATATGTGAAAACACACGGTGTTGGACTGAAACCTGATGCTGTTTCTCTGATATTACAATAACAGCTGTGGAGATTGAAGCAAGGATGTTATTTCTGTTGTTTTTTTTTCATATAATGCAACAATCTTTCTCAATTCCTTTAAAGATACTGAACCTTTCAAATGAAACTGTTTCGAACTCTAAGAAGTGATCAGCAGAAACAGAATCAGGCGCATTTGAATGAAAAATAATTAAACAAAAAAGCACTTTATAGACAGACATCCATTATTATTATTTTTTTAAATTAGAATCAAATATTGTCTCTGAGCATTCCTAATTACTTCATTACAACACAGAGAAAACATGTTTAAGCAGTCAGCAGGGCTTGAAGCAAAGGTTGGCAATAACCAGACTCACCCCAGGGTGAAGAAAAGAACTGGTTTAGTTTATATATTTAAAAAAAATGAAAATAGCCTCAAGTTATTTTTGAAAAGGCGGAAAAATGTAAGCCACTTTAAAAAGGCTATATGTAACTGTAAAAGTATTCTTTTCTCTACAGGATTTTTACTTCACTGAAATATGTTCATTATTTCTTTAGATCATTTATCATTAGATTATGTTCATGACTTAAAGAAATACCATTTACATTTTACTTGGAAGTGATACAACTTGACTTAAGCCTGGGGTTCCCATTCCTTTACTTTCTATCAATTATAATTCCATTCAGGTCCTTTTAAAAGTTTGTTCACTGCATGAGTATGTAGACACTGCTCTCATCTTTAAGGTACAACATTTTAGTAACTTCTCATTTTCTAGATGAGATACATTCTGTGATACAGCCTCATCCTTGCTGAGGAGAGAAAAAGATTTCTGCAGGAAACAAGGAAATTTGTTAAACTTATGTTACGATTCAAGTGGGCTGCATAATACATGAAATACCTGTCTAAAAAACTCCATGAGAACTATTTATTCTCTCAAAGGGAAGAATAATACTGCAAAAAGAATACAAAATGATAAACACCCTTGCAATACTTACATACTAATTTGTCCTAGTATAATTTTTTTGGCCAAATGTGTTCTACTTTTCACTAATCATAGGGTCAGAAAGAACAACCCTTTGAAACCATTAACTCCTCACAATGCACATTCTCGAGAAGGAAAAGTGAATTCACAATGGGATGCGCTGTGCTCAGTTCTTGACACCGCATAGAAAATCATACTGTTATACCACACTCTGTGACTACTGTATTGTCAGTATATAGTGATATATATGGTGAGTATGATGAAGATCAATCTTTGGACTCCGGTTGTGTAAAGACATTCCAGTGTAATCTGTGACAGGCCAAAGCCTGTTAGATTCAGTGGTCTGAGCAAAAATGGAAAAATACAATTACATACATATGGATGGTGAAATTAAATAAAATTGTGCAATTTGTAACCTTAAAAAAATGGAATTCATACGATTGACCACAGCATTCCAAACACTCACTGCCCTCTACTGGTTATAATAGAAACACTGTTTTGGTGCAGAATTCACATTAACAGCATTTTAACATTTGTATCAGAAACACTGTTAATAATCAGAAATGTTGAGTGATTAGCTGCCTTATTTACTTGAAAGCTAATCCGGAGTGAATAGATATGCCCACAAACCACTTAGCCGTACCACAGCTGATTAAGACTTAAGATGACTGCCATTTGGCTGGGAATACAATCAATCATTTCTTAGACGTCTGATAATTTTCCTCACAGCAATTCTGCAAAGCTTCTAAGGCACAATCTCCATTTATTGGCTCACACTTATAGTATCACATTCAAATTGAAAGATAATACTGCTTCCATAATCCAAGTTTTGGAAGACACAGCATGTACTCAGTATGAAAAGAAACGTACTACTACACGTGCAAAACATTCACAATGCTATTGACAAGAAAATGACAAAATCTTTTTTGTAGTACTTATAAAAGAAACGACATGAACAAAAATGACATAGGTAAGTTATCCATTCATCCATTTTTTAACTCCTTTATCCAATACAAGGTCAAGGGGGACACATATCTTATCTCGACAAGCAACAGGCGCAAGGCAGGATACACCCTGTATGGGAAGCCAGACGGTCACAGGGCACACACAGACCACAGACAAAACCAGGAGGAAACTAGGGCACCCAGAGGAAACCCATCCAACACAGGGAAAACATACTGTACAAGTTCAATGCGGATAGCACCCCAGAAATTGAATCCAGGGCCCCAGTGCTGCAAGGCAGCAGTGCTATCCACTGTGCCACCCTGCCTGTCGAAGGTAAATTATACTCATTAACATTTGTCATCAACAGGGTGGATCAAAAGGGGTCAAAGGAAAGGCACAGGCTAGTAAGGTAAGTCTCCCCCAGTGGAAGCAATACAACAAGCACATGCTTTGCAATATGCAAATACTTTCTTGTGAACTTCTGTCCCATTCCTCTCTCAGAGCCTGGACAAGATTGTGCCTGTTCACTGGTCTCTGAGCCTTAGATGCCTCACACCATCCCAGCTAATCCCACATGAAATGATGGGATCACTATCATGTCCTCATCAAGCAAGAAAGTCATTATTCCATGAACAGTCTGATACAGCAGGATACAGCAACTGGAAGGGCAGCATGCAAGTTCCTGGGACTGGATTAATATAGCACCCTGCATTCAGGTTGCCATCAATCACTGCAGGTGATTCGGTAGTTCGGTAGTGACGAGACTCTCCTGCCAGACTATCACACTTGGACCTCTCCTTTGACTGGCCTATTGCACAAACAATTTGTGTATTGTTCTACCGGTCTTGGCCATAGTCACTGACATCGAAACCTTAATTCGGCACTAAAGAGAACTTGGCTCCACTCCTCTTACTTAGACATCCTAATTAATAGTATTAATTTGAGCAAATAATCACAACTAGCTTCTAAAACCTGCATACTTTAGTTTTCGAAAAAAGGTGCATAAAGAGAGTGATTAATTTATAAAGAAAGAAATAGCCATCTGAAGTTCACTACCATTTGTCAAACACTTTGTGATTTTTGACTCTACTGAAGGTTGCAACATTGGAGAAAACTGGACAGGTAGGTATCAGAATGTTACATTGTAATTGAGGGTCTCAGAGAATATACTATTTTATGAACAGTAAAATGCTTCCATTCATAGATCCCTTGTACTATGGTGAGTTTAGCATGGTTTAGTTGTTTTTCCCATGGGTTTAGTTTACTGGTGCTGTGATATCCTACTGTATGTTATTAGTGTAATTTCACTACACTTTTATGCACAAACTGATGCATAAAAAACAGACATTACTCCTCCCAGGATATTGGTCTAAGCAGTGAAATGGCTCTGACATCTTAGCTACCCAAACTGCAGAACAAAAGTTTACAAACTAGAGATGGTGCATGACAAAAAATGGAAAATTGTCTCATAAAATCACAATGTTTTGCATGTATATAATTGCCTTGAAATTCCAAACTCCTGTTGTAAAATACACAAAGCCTGGTTTATTGTGGGTCATACAGTAAAAAAAAGGGTGGAGCACGCTTTTAAAAAATCTTGGTAAAATAATTGCACTGCGCACAGCCGATGTTGATTTTATTACTTACTTCAAAGGCTTATTAGAGTAGATCAATTTTTACAAGAGACAATTTAGAAGAGTATATTAAAGCTGCAATCTGATGCTGAAGAAGAGCAACCAAGTGTAACTGTCTCATTCAAAGCACAGCCTGAACCTTCTTAACACAACAGTCGCCCTTGTTCTCTCCTTGAGCCAAAGTCAGAATTTGTCCATATGCATTCATATATATGCATGTAATTTTCAGTGAGGAATTAACCTCTAACTGCTCCTTTGCAGCTTGCACACTAATGCTCCCCTCTTGATATGTACAGATCTACAAAGGTTTATGTGCGTGTGCACGCAATACAACCGTCAGTTCATGAAGTCTTACCTTGCTGTAGTATTTTCCCAAAATATTTATTTTGACTAGTGCAGTTCCATCTCCTAAACCTGAACTGGTATTGACATTCCCTAACTCCCAGCTTTGCTCCTTTCGCCACTTCGTTGACAATCTCTGGCTGTGTCTGGCACAGTTCCGCCTGCCTCCCCGCCAGCCTCTTAGTCTTCCTGCAGATACTGTTGGGGTCCATCACTAAGGGACTGCCCACGGCCCTGGAAAAACAAACCAAGGATGAGTATAGCTCAAAGTCACCACATACCAATATCCAAATGGTAGTACATTTTATTTCAGCCATGGTTAAATTGTTTTATTTCACAATTTAACCTTAGATATGTTCAGCGAAAGTTACAAAAGTTCAACTTTCTTATTTTAAATTCCTTATAGGTCCAATGAAAAAAATAATGGCTAAAATATGCAAAGTCCAGGTAGACTCATGTCAATACAGTGCTGCACGAATGTGACTCAGTTTAGCTTTTTCGATGATTGAGTTTTTTTATTGTAGACAACAGCACTTTCTATTGTAAAGGTGCAATAAGGTCTCGTGTTTAATTAAATATTAGCCTCTAAGTATTATTTTACATTTCTCAGTATTTAGACCATTAGAATAAAAATAAACCACATACGATGTTAAAGGCACACTGAAATATATTACTAAAAGTATAGTTTAATTTAATTAGAAAGAGAACATCTGAGTCTTTATTTTGCCTCTTTGATGTTGACAGATTTATACTAAATGTTAAGCTACATTTGTGAGGACTTGGGTTGAAAATGCTATTTTAGATTAACTACTCCCAGAATGTCTTTGGATTATACATCAAATTTAACCATGCCAAATACCACTTCATGGTAACACATGACATGAGAGATTGTGATGACAAAATTTTGTGGAGAGACACTTTATTATAAACAGATTTTATTGAAAACAAGTTAAAAAACACCACTTCTCTAATAAACAGTCAACTCTACATCGAGAACTCACATAAACGTACATTTCTGTTTAATGTAATTCAGTCTCTAAGACGTTTTCCACTTTTCCCTAAGATACAGAAAAGAATACAATTATATAGAAATTCAATTTTCAGCACTATGTAACTTTTAACTCTTTTATTCACTTGTACAGAATGTTGGGTTTCTTTTCAGATATTTCTGGATTTTTCCAATACAAGATTTGTGCTCAATTTGACTGTTATACTTGTTATTGAGGTTATAATTATACTGTACACCTGAATGGAGAGTTGGCCATAAAGTCTTAAGTGACATGTTTATTTGTTTTTATCCTTAAGAAAAAAACACACAATTCTATAGACTTTCAACGGGAAATAAATGCCATGGCTTCACCCCTGTTTCCAGAGATACTCATACTGCCAATTATCTAAGGAATATCCTTTTATTAAGGAAACAATAAAAGGATACAAACTCTTACAGGCTTTGGTACCTCTATTAACCTTTTATCAGGAAATAGGGCTAGCATTTAACAGATATTATTTAAAGTTAAAACTCTATGGTAGTAAATGGCACAGAACTCTGAATTTATGTATCACTTGAATCCTTCTTAAAGTGGTTTTCTTTTTGGTTTCTGCATCATAATTACTATTATCATGAACATCTTTCTTTCAAAAATATTGGCAGTGCCTTAAAGAAATAAATGATGTTTTATTACATTTATTTCATTATCACCCATGGTAATTGAATCATAATGCATTTTAAGTGCTATAAATCTACTCTATATCTAATTTATAAAGAAATAATCTTTATTTTTTTCTCTATGCCTCCATGTTAAGTGTGCAAGTACACTTTAATACTGGTCAGTGCTTCATCTGTTTCTAAATTTCAGGCCTTAGAAAAGGCACACATTGTACAGAAAAGAGAAGGACATTTTAAAAAAGCTCACAATAACTCTTGACTTCAAACTTATATCTGTTATATATGTACTATAAAGACAAAAACAAGATTGTCAAAGCATTCTTTATCAAAGAGGATAAATATCCTACATTCAAGCCCAAAATATGTAGTTTTTGCCCCTGTCCTACTAACTGCATCCCAGACACCTGGTATGACATAATTCGGTATAGTGTTCTAGTGTTTTCAGACCTTTCCAGTTACAATGCTCCAAACCTCTTTTATGAATATGCCATTTGACTTGGTCATCAGAGTTTGCTGGGGTTGATCAATAAAAGCTAAGCTTCATTTTTTATAAGATAATTGCTGAGACAGTGTGACTATGAAAGTATCGCAGAGCTGTTCCATGACCTCAGCCTCACTGTAAATTATTGTATGAAATGAATAATTACTACCTCATACAGGAATCCCTTCCAAAAAGTATACCAAAGGCATGCCATTACAAAATCTCACAATGTGTTATGCATTGCAATAACATTACATAGTTCTGCTAGATTTTTTAAATGTACAAACTAATCACAGATGAACGCACACTGCAACATGCATTTCATTTTCACTACTGCATTGTTTCATTGTGGTGTTTATAACTCTGAAATCAACAATTTTGGTGATAACCTCTTTCTTTTCGCATTCTTGTACTTGCAAGCCAGCGTGCACAGAAAAGTAAATGTTTTCAGAAAACTAGTAACCCGTAATCATACACAAAGTACAGTACAACTCCACCGCCTCAATCTAGCTAGCTAGCAGCTGTCTTTATCTCCCTGAAACAGGGCTGAATAATACAATTGACACCTTGCCAACTTAGAATTTGACTATGATTGTCCAAATCTAGTTCTTACACCCCACACCATGCTTCCTCTGAGAAACAGCTACGTCTTTGTTACACCCATTGCATTTTCATCCCAAAAGCCCATTTTTCTGGCACTTCCACATTACAAGAAGCATAAAACAGGAGCACATATCCTTAAGAAGATGCAAGATGTCAGTGAACATCCCAGACAAATGAATTTGATGTAACGCAGGGTGCCAGGATGCTATCTACAGATGTTCAGAAATAGTGCACTAGTTCATCAATTAGTACACTGTGTCATACCTACAGTATCAGTGCAACCAGAAACCATCAAGAGAACAGGATTGTCACACCAATGGTGAATGGTACCACTGGTAAAAATGGTGTGTGGAACACATTTAAAAAATAAATAAATCCACTCTTGATCATGTACAATAATATATCATATTAAATATGATCACAGAAATAGAATAGTAATTATGATTATCATCAGATAAAAAACAATTACAAAAGGTTTTGATTTTGTGATCCAAACAATTATAAAATCATGCTATGATTTTATGGTATTCTAGACATGTTGCTGAACAAACATCTCAGTTACGAAAAAAAGTAAGATTTTATTTAACAGTAATTTTAATCCTCAGAAATGCAAACCATGACATCATTCAAGACAATGTTCTAAACCAAATGAGGGGCTTGACAAAATGCATAGCATAGTCCTTCGGTACAAATCTGCACTGTATCACAACTTAAAGTGACAAGTTATACAACTTGATAGTTCTATTAAAACTGAGGTACTTCTGTCACATCTAGGCAGCACATTATAGGGACATTATTTTTATCTTACGAGCAGCTCAGTGGTTAGCATTGCTGCCCCACAGCCTTCGGTCCCTGGATTAAATTCTTGGGGTGCTGTTTGTGTGGAGTCTGCATGCTCTCTCTGTGTTTGAACGGGTTTCCTCCTGGTGCTCCTAAATTCCAAAGACATGTTGATAGGTATGTTGGCTTCTGTATAATTGTCCCAAGTGTAAGCGTGTGCATGTTTGTGTCTGTATGTGACCTATGAAGAACTGGCGATCCAGCCAGGGTCTATCTTGTATTGCACCCAACACTTACTGACATATGACCCTGAATTGGATAAGCAGTTATGAAACATATGTGATATGATTTTTCTCCCATGCCCCATTTTGCCTAATATACTGTATCATTCTGCTATGTACTAGGAATTTTTCACTTAAGAAAATAAATGTTTTATTATTTATTATCCTTAGGAATAATTTATTATGTCAAGACAACTGCTTAGAAATGTAGCAATATTTATCATATCAGAAATACATCTGTGCTTTTTAGCATTGATAAAGGCAGACAATTCTCAACGTCCTTGGCACAAGAAGATATTTAAGTCAGAGCATGCTCCATGACTTTAAAAGCTGCATGCTCTCTGATCATATTGGTCATGTTCTCCTCACTCATGGCTCAAACTGCAAATGGTGGAGTTAGAACGGTCCTATTCAAGAAGAATGCTCTCAAAAATTGGGGGACATCATTCTTAAGGCAAGATCACATGACAGGAGTCACAGAGATAGAAACGTTCTCCATGTCTTCAATAACCACAGTCACACTATTTCAGAAACATGAGGTTACATCCTTCTGCATATCAGGCAAACACTTGTATATACTGTAGTAGCTGTTTTTACCATGTAACACTATTCATTCTCACAACCCTGAAAAAACGTACAGAGACCAACAACTATTTCTCAAGTTCTGGACTGGATGCATGCCTTGTGCTTCCCAGGAAATGACATTCTGCTCCAAGTACCAAGAAGATCTTTCTTACTTTATGTCTTGTTGACAAACTTGTACACTTTTTTGTCTGAATGCACTATATTATTATTATGTTCAGGTGGGTAGCTCCGTCAGCATGCGTAGGCTGCAAAGGAACAAGTAATAGGTTTATTCCATGCTGAAAAAAAGAAGAAAGAGAACACAAC